TTATAGAATCTATATTTTTATATGTATATATATTTCTATAGATGTTCATAATCTGTCCAAGTCAATTTTGGGTTTTAAATTTTGTGGCACAGAGACAGAGGTGGAGAAAATCTGTGCAGATCTGCTCATCCTGCCTCGTTGCAGCCTCTCTATAGGCAGTCAGTGTGACATAGAAAAAAATCGGATCGGAGATTAAAAAGTTGTATGCAACCGGTTACAGTAGTTCTGGCATTAAGGCTGAATTTAAGCAATTCTTTAGTAGAAGCAATAATTCTACTGTCCACGTGTCTTCGCTGAAATCAAACTTTAATTCCTTGTTTTTGTTTCAAACAGATTAAAGTGTTTCTGAAAACCAGCTCATGTCTCTGTTTCTCCTCCTAATTTTTCGTATCTCCAGATTTCTCTGAAATGTTAAGTTTGATTAAAGATCCGTAAAATGAGATAATTGGTGGATTTCTAACAGCAGCTGATCAGAAGGACAAACCAATCTAAAGCTAAAGCAGAGATCACTATGAGAAGAGAAGGAAACCTGCAGTTAGTGCAGATGGAAACTTTAAATCAGGGTTCCACACAAAACAAGGCGTAGTCTAAGCCAGTCCAAGTCAAGTCAGGTCTAAAGTCAGGGTTAAATCTTCAACAGCTGAACTGAAGCATATCAGAGCCAGAACATCCAGAGTGGGTCTAACTCTGCATCTCAGATGGTTTCAGATCCAAACCTCGGCCTGTACTAACATTAACATTTGTCTTTTAATCTTTTATAACATCTGTCTTTAATATTTAAATTCACCCTCTGCAGCTCTGCAAAAAGCTGCTTTATTTAAAACTAAACTTTATATTTACCATTTAGAAAAATGAAAAAAGCATTTATCCCTTGATAGAAATATCATAAAGTAATTAAAACCTGTTAATAATGGATTAGATCTCAGTTAAAAGCTGTTTTATCTTTATTTCCCACTCTATCATTAATGAAACTAAATCTGGTTTGAAGGCTTTTCTCTGCTTCGCTCTGAGAAAACTAAATATCCTGGAGAGTAAAGATGTTTAAATTCACTGCATCAATTATAAAATCACGATAGAAAATGCAGTTCAATTCTGAATGAACAAAACAGGAAGAGCTTTTATTTTGAAATGTGGATCCTGGTAATGATGCAGCTCTCTAAGCACCTATTAGTTTTATTCCCCTTATTTAACATCTGTCCAGTTACTTTTAGATCGTGTCGTTTCTTCCTGGTTATTCTTTGTTGACCCCTAGCCTTCTAGTTACTTCTGTCTACACCTGCTCCCAATTAGCTAATTAGATAATTATTCTGTCTCCCATATATTTATGTCCTGTTCAGTTACTCATTTGCTGAGTTCGAATTCAGCAACTGCTTTCTCCAAAGGCCAGATTCGTTGGACGATCACGTCATAGCGAGGCCTGTACAGATTGGAAGACTCCTCGTTATGCCGCCAACAAATGCATCCTTCTTTTTGCCCATTTTGATGGACAGGTCCAGTGTATCTTCCGTAGCCTTGGGTATTGCGAGTCCAAGCAAGCCGGCTGCTCCATGCTCAGGAAAAAGGCTCCGAACAGTGGTGATTATTGGAAGTGCAGTTTAATATAATAATAATTAATAATAATAATAATAATTGAACTTTATTGATCTCACATTGTAGAAATTTATCTCTGCATTTATCTCAACAGTGGGCTGCCATTGTTCAACACCCTGGGAGCAGTGTGAAGTTAAGGGTCTTGCTCAGTAACCCAGAGTGGAGGCTGTGGCGATTGAACCGGGTACTTACAACCTTCTCAGAGCACAAGCAAACTGCCCTTAACCACTAGGCCAACAGGAACGTGGACCAGTAAAAGGAACGTGGACCAGTAAAA